CTAATATAGAATGAAGAAAAATATTTTAACATTGGACATACCGAAGGATATTTTTGAACAATGGTTCCAGAACTTAAATTTGAGATTCTCTGCCTTTGCAGATAGACTGTTTAAAAGATGTTATGGAAGAAGAACAAGTTTTACCAGGCAAGACTGAGACTGATCTGAAAGTGGATTTAAAAATGACAGGCTACAAGAATGATACAAAAAAGGACGCTACACTCGACATACAAAATAAACTGACTGATGTCTTAATAATTAAAAGGGATATACAAATAACAAACCAGGAGAATGACCTGGATAATATTCCTATATTGGGTTTGCAAAAGAAGCTTCTTGAAGCTTTGAAGAATCTTGTGAGAAGGGAGAAAGAAAAAATGAAAAGAAATCAAGTTTAGGACATTATTTGAAGGGACTAAAGAGCAAGTTCATTAAAAGTAAAGGGAAGGAATATAAAGTTGGTTTATTTAATCAAGGTTACAACAGGTATGTTGTTATCTCTGGTAACCCTCCATGGACTTTTGCTGATCAGAACTGAAATGACAATGCTTTAAGGATTTGTTTATAGACAAGAGATGGGATATGGGAAGAAGAAGAGAAGATGATAAGTTACTACAATTGTTTATACTTATAATGAAGGGGGAAGCCATTCCTTTATACATTTCTTTTTCTTTACTATATTATTTTTTTCTTTTCTATTTTTCTTTCTTTTCTGCACCTATTTTTTTTAATCTTATTTTTTTAGTCTGTATAAGGTTTTATCTTTGTATTTTTTAATAAAAATATTTTTTTTAAAAAAGCAGTAGTTACAGTAATATGTGGATCTTCGTTACATGATTTAACTTGTATTCTAATTGTATTTCATATGAAAATAACTCTGCAGCTTCCCAATTTGGTCGTTTCAAATCTGACCTAAAATCTAACAAGAGAAATATTTTGTCTTATCTTCAGAAATTGGGTTGGTAATTAACCAGCAGAGGGCTTTTTAGGCAGCTTTCCAAATAAGATTTGCAGGTCAACTATATTATTTTAAAAATTACTTATGTTTTTAGCCACAAACCCCTTTTTGCTCTATTACTCATCTCCTTGGTATTCCATGCTCTCCAATCAGTATCTTGAAGACCATGAGTCTGAACATGAACGGTTCTTAACCATTTTGTTGCTGTTATTGTTGCCATGAAGCCACTTGACTCTTGACTTTAGCTCAAAAGCTCCTGCAAAAAGATGGAGCTGCCTGCATAAAAGCACAACCCCTCCCCCAGCCACTGTTCAATGTATATCCTGGGTTGAAATCACACACCCAGCCATAAGCTGACCACTAAGCTTATGCTGGTTGGTGGTTCTCTGCAGATAAATACAGCCAGGGTAGACTCGAATCCACCTGCTCAATTCCTCCTCACCTTTGTTTTCCATTCTCTTTCAACAATTAGGAGCGACCCAGAGTTGTGTTTTAAGGGGGGGGGGGTTCATACACATCTTTCTTTCTTTTCGTTCAGAAGCCCTGCCCTTTTCTTCCTCATGCATGGCACATAAAAGGGACGGAGCTTTGCAGTCACAGTCTGCCACCTTGACTTTCCGACAGCCCAGCCCCGAAGGCCCCTGCCCCACCGCCCATGGCACGCTGCCCGGCTGCAAAAGCGGCCTTCCTCCCTTTCTGCGGCAAGCCGCTCCAGGGTATGTTCCGCGGCGGGGCTGCCCTGCCCCTATCGCGCCCCGGAGACTACGGTGGACGCCCCCAGGCCCCGATTTGCAAGGCCGTTTTCCCCTCCTGGCACCCAGCGGATGGCAGGAGGGACGGGGGGGGG